ATACACGGGAGCTCTTATCCGTAACCCGAAATACCACAACTTCTGTAAACCGTAGCAACTAGAGCAGTGGTGGTCAACCTGCGAGCCCGCAGGCCCCTTGCGTCCCATGGAACACCTCGTGGTGGGCTTATCGAAGCGTGTCCAGGTAGCTGCGCGGGGTCGTCACGAGTGCACAAGCACGACGTCAAGTTTCGCGGCCCACTGAGGTGCAGGAGGGCTGCCTATCTGGCCCACGAACCACTGCTAGGTTTCGATTTAAAGCTTTCGTGACTGCAGGGATTCATCTTCTTGGTTCTTTCGGTAAAGTCACGTAGAATGGAAATAATAAAATAATAAAAATAAAACATAATAAAATACAAGAATTGTATTTTAAACATAATAAACATAATAAAATACAAGAATTGTATTTTATTATGTTTTATTTTTATTATTTTATTACTTCCCTTCTACGTGACTTTACCGAAAGAACCAAGAAGACACTGCTAGGTTGCCCATCACTGAACTGATACAGAGGCCTTGAATCGCATGTTATTTGCGGCCCCATTCCGTTTTACACAATTATCGGCAATTTATTTCCCCTCCTGCTTTGTGGATGGCTTCCTGTTATCTGCTATCCCCCCCCCCCCCGCGGATAAGTGTTGTAAAAGCACATATTATCCTGTGCTGTACAAACGTTGCACCTCCAATGATCACGGTTGGCTACGTACTTTGCTTAAGAAGTTCAGCACATATATATGTACCTATATTCTGCCCTCTGTGCTGTTTATGGCCAATACGTTTTTCCCCCCAATGTATGTTCAACTTCTTAATTGGATTTATAATAATTGGATTCCTATATCATGGATTCCTAAATCCAATGATGACAGAGCCGGTGTCAGGTTTTGAACAATAGCCTTTCCAGATGGACATAACCTCGATTTGGAACATTACGTAAAAACTTGAGAAAAAAACCTTTTGTTACAAATAAAAACATCACAAAATAATACAGTTGGGCAACACGAGGAATTATTGCAGCATTTATTTGACGGTTTTGTAGACAAACTTCAAAGAAAGTCCTCACACTATAGTTCTCCCCTAGAATATTATAAGAACTTGTAAATACCACATTTTCCCTGAATGAAACCCCTTGATTCAAGAATTAAAACAGAAAACATTTGCTCATTTGTAGGCTGCTGCTCCTGTGTATCTTACGCCGCATAGGTGCAACTGCGGGATGCCACTTTGAGTTGCCGATGCATTTCAGCACCCTACGAAGGGGTGATGTTAAACAAATCCTATACGCAAGGTTTACATGATTGTATCTTGACCGTCTCATCTCCTTTCATGCCCCCTCTTGTCCTCTTCATTCCCAATCTTCTCTCTTTCTGTCCCTCATTCTCCCTGTGCCCAATTCCATTTTCGGGACCCTTTCCCCCCGTGCATCCCTCCACTGGAACCACTACCCATAGGCTCAGCACTGCCCATAGACGCAACACTGAGACCCATAGACTCAGCACTGCCCATAGACGCAGCACTGCCAACAGACTCAACACTGCCCATAGACGCAGCACTGCCCATATACTCAACACTGCCCATAGACTCAGCACTGCCCATAGACTGACTCAACAGTGCCCATAGACACAGCACTGCCCATAGACGCAACACTGAGACCCATAGACTCAGCACTGCCCATAGACGCAGCACTGCCAACAGACTCAACACTGCCCATAGACGCAGCACTGCCCATATACTCAACACTGCCCATAGACTCAGCACTGCCCATAGACTGACTCAACACTGCCCATAGACACAGCACTGCCCATAGACGCAGCACTGCCCATAGACTGACTCAACACTACCCATAGACTCAGCACTGCCCATAGACGCAGCACTGCACATAGACTGACTCAACACTACCCATAGACTCAGCACTGCCCATAGACGCAGTACTGCCCATAGACTGACTCAACACTGCCCATAGACTGACTCAACACTGCCCATAGGCTCAGCACTGCCCATAGACGCAACACTGCCCAGAGACTCAGCACTGCCCATAGACGCAACACTGCCCATAGACTGACTCAACACTGCCCATAGACGCAGCACTGCCCAGAGACTCAGCACTGCCCATAGACTGACTCAACACTAGCCATAGACGCAGCACTGCCCATAGACTCAGCACTGCCCATAGACTGACTCAACACTACCCATAGACGCATCACTACCCATAGACTCAGTACTGCCCATAGACTGACTCAACACTGCCCATAGACTGACTCAACACTGCCCATAGGCTCAGCACTGCCCATAGACGCAACACTGCCCAGAGACTCAGCACTGCCCATAGACGCAACACTGCCCATAGACTGACTCAACACTGCCCAAAGACTCAGCACTGCCCATTGACTCAGCACTGCCCATAGACGCAACACTGCCCAAAGACTCAACACTGCCCATAGACGCAGCACTGCCCATAGACTGACTCAACACTGCCCATAGACTGACTCAACACTGCCCATAGGCTCAGCACTGCCCATAGACGCAACACTGCCCAGAGACTCAGCACTGCCCATAGACGCAACACTGCCCATAGACTGACTCAACACTGCCCAAAGACTCAGCACTGCCCATTGACTCAGCACTGCCCATAGACGCAACACTGCCCAAAGACTCAACACTGCCCATAGACGCAGCACTGCCCATAGACTGACTCAACACTGCCCATAGACAACACTGAGACCCATAGACTCAGCACTGCCCATAGACGCAGCACTGCCAACAGACTCAACACTGCCCATAGACGCAGCACTGCCCATATACTCAACACTGCCCATAGACTCAACACTGTCCATAGACGCAGCACTGCCCAAAGACTCAACACTGCCCATAGACACAGCACTACCCATAGACGAAACACTGCCCAGAGACTCAGCACTGCCCATAGACTGACTCAACACTGCCCATAGACACAACACTGAGACCCATAGACTCAGCACTGCCCATAGACTCAGCACTACCCATAGACGCAACACTGCCCAGAGACTCAGCACTGCCCAGAGACTCAGCACTGATCAGAGACTCAGCACTGCCCAGAGACTCAGCACTGCCCAGAGACTCAACACTGCCCATAGACGCAACACTGCCCATAGACGCAACACTGCCCATAGACTCAACACTGCCCATAGACTCAGCATTGCCCATAGACTCTGCACTGCCCATAGACTCAGCACTGCTCATAGACTCAACACTGCCCATAGACTCAACATTGCCCATAGACTCAACACTGCCCATAGACTCAACACTGCCCATAGACTCAACATTGCCCATAGACTCAACACTGCTCATAGACTCTGCACTGCCCATAGACTCAGCACTGCTCATAGACTCAACACTGCCCATAGACTCAACATTGCCCATAGACTCAACACTGCCCATAGACTCAACACTGCCCATAGACTCAACATTGCCCATAGACTCAACACTGCCCATAGACTCAACACTGCCCATAGACTCTGCACTGCCCAGAGACTCAGCACTGCCCATAGACTCAGCACTGCCCATAGACTCTGCACTGCCCATAGACTCAGCACTGCCCATAAACTCAACACTGCCCATAGACTCAGCACTGCCCATAGACTCAGCACTGCCCATAGACTCAACACTGCCCATAGACTCAACATTGCCCATAGACTCAACACTGCTCATAGACTCAACACAGCCCATAGACTCAACATTGCCCATAGACTCAACACTGCTCATAGACTCAGCACTGCCCATAGACTCAGCACTGCCCATAAACTCAACACTGCCCATAGACTCAGCACTGCCCATAGACTCAGCACTGCCCATAAACTCAACACTGCCCATAGACTCAACACTGCCCATAGACTCAACACTGCTCATAGACTCAGCACTGCCCATAGACTCAACACTGCTCATAGACTCAGCACTGCCCATAGACTCAGCACTGCCCATAGACTCAACACTGCTCATAGACTCAACACTGCCCATAGACTCAGCACTGCCCATAGACTCAACACTGCTCATAGACTCAGCACTGCCCATAGACTCAGCACTGCCCATAAACTCAACACTGCCCATAGACTCAGCACTGCCCATAGACTCAGCACTGCCCATAAACTCAACACTGCCCATAGACTCAACACTGCCCATAGACTCAACACTGCTCATAGACTCAGCACTGCCCATAGACTCAGCACTGCCCATAGACTCAGCACTGCCCATAAACTCAACACTGCCCATAGACTCAACACTGCCCATAGACTCAACACTGCACCATAGACTCAGCACTGCACCATAGACTCAACACTGTCCATAAACTCAACACTGCCCATAAACTCAACACTGCTCATAGACTCAACACTGCCCATAGACTCAACACTGCACCATAGACTCAACACTGCCCATAGACTCAACACTGCCCATAAACTCAACACTGCTCATAGACTCAACACTGCCCATAGACTCAACACTGCACCATAAACTCAGCACTGCCCATAAACTCAACACTGCTCATAGACTCAGCACTGCCCATAGACTCAGCACTGCCCATAAACTCAACACTGCCCATAGACTCAGCACTGCCCATAGACTCAGCACTGCCCATAGACTCAGCACTGCCCATAGACTCAGCACTGCCCATAAACTCAACACTGCCCATAGACTCAGCACTGCCCATAGACTCAGCACTGCCCATAGACTCAACACTGCCCATAGACTCAACATTGCCCATAAACTCAACACTGCTCATAGACTCTGCACTGCCCAGAGACTCAGCACTGCCCATAGACTCAACACTGCCCATAGACTCAGCACTGCCCAGAGACGCAACACTTCCCCTCTACATGAAGCAGTCCGCCCTCCTTGACCTCCTTCCATTCCTCTCTTAACGCATCTCCTCTTCTCTCTTGCCCATTCCCTTCCCTCCCCTCGCCCCTCCACTTCTTCCCGTCCCACCCTTGCCCTTTTGTGACCCCCTCTATCACGGTCACTCGTTCCTCATCACTTGCACGCCCTTGCCATCTGAACCGTTCTATTTTGTCGCCGTGTTTCTAAGCTGTGCAAAGCGCTTTGTGTAAAGGTGGTCTATAAAAATAAATTAAGGTAAGTCAGCAGCAATGTGACCCTTCAAAACCAGCATATTCAATGGTTTCCAACCTGACCCTCGAGAAGGGATGATAAACACCGTTCTGATTTGCTCCTCTGTGGGCAAAACTACCACGGGGAGGCTTTTTAAATGCTACCAGGCCTGTTCAGAGCCAGTCCGGTGAATTTAAACAAGTCCCGATATTTTTGTGCGACTAACTTTTAAAAGAGCATTTGGGTGCAGTGCGTGCAGGCGACAGGCAAGGCTTGTGGTGTGTTGAGAAGTGTATTGTACGACGGTAGAATGCCTCGTCTGTGAACAATGCCTGTTATCCGTGGGAGCTGTAGGGTCTGCAAAATATTCCATTATGCCCGCGACTGTGTTTCTCACCATCTGCAAATTATCCACAGGTTCCCTGTCCTGCTTTTCTCAAAGGTTTGTCTGTGAACCGCACTTCTCTCCACGGATGAGTGGAGATCATCGGCCAATTCGTCCGATTATCCGCAATAAAACTTTGTGGATAAGTGAAGTATACATATACCCAAAGAACTTCACAAATAATGGAGTCAGCAATTGTTTTGTACCCCGACATCATTGGAGTAACTAGCCGTAGCTGTGTTGGTAGCAGGTGGCTGCAGGTTGAGAAGGTCACAAACGCTGCCTTTCTTATCCTAGTCTCGGGTGAAGCCTGAGCCTGGCTGAACTAAACACACGAAATGAAAAGCAATGGCATTGACTTAATTGGTGTGGGCGCAGGGAGTCTATGCAGCATCCCAGCAAAACCGGTCCTCTGAGTGACAAGCACACTCAATGAATTATCACGGTAATTCTTAGCAAATATCAAGGGCCGGATTGTGGGAAAATAAAAATAAACGAATCTATGGAAAGGTCACGGAATGAAGGTGGGCCATTGCTTCACCCAGAAAGTCATTTCCAAAAAGTTTGTAAAACAAAATATATGTTAAAATCACCATTTTAAGATAAAAAAATGTTTTAAACCGGCTAATTTTAATTATATACATTTTTGTGGCATTTCGAATCAATTTGGAAAGAATCGATTAAAAATTCAGAAATATGGGGATCCGTTTTGCATATGGACAGGGCTCGGAGAGGTGGGGGGGTCTCCTGGCTGCCTCACGTCATGCGCTGTAAATAACGACCTGTGGTGTTTTCAGCAGAAAATCTATGGCGTTAAAAAAGAAACAAGTAAAATTAACACCTAATCGAATGTCTTTCCATTGTCATATCCAAAAAATTTAAGCACGTTATTCAAGTTTATAATATCTGTGACACCCGTGACTTCTGTAAACCACCGTGACCCAACTCATAGCCTTGGTTATCGTACGCTGCCTTGGTGTCCCAATCAGTAATCGATCCACCTGCATGCATCATCTGAGACTCGAAAAACCCCAGACTGAGTTCGCAGCTTCCCTTGACTTGGCCTCTTGACTTGGGCTGAGCGGCGCTACATGTCGTGCTGTGAGCTTGTGCTGAATTCTACACCCAGACCAGATGTTACGGGATGTTTGTCGTCAAACCTTCCATGCTAAAAATACAAATAAGTATAACCCGTAAAAACAAAGTGTTTCACTATAAATCCTTTATATGCGTGGCAGCGAACTTAATATAAAGGATTTAAAAATGTATTCGCCTGTGGAGGACGCGGGGATCGATCCCGCGATCTTTGGCATGGGAAGCGAGGGCGTTACCAACTGCGCTACTCCGCCACGGCCTGTGGAGGGGTTACGCTCTGGGCTCTTATACTGTGACGTTCAGCCAAAGCCAAGAATGAGTTCTATTTGAATATATGTAAAATATTTTTTTTTGCCTAAAAAGTGTAACATTTTGGGAATTTTTTTTCACGAACATTGTCTGGCACAACGAGTCTGTGTGGAAAATGTCAGCTCGATTGGATCACGGGAAGTGGGTTAAAAAACGACCGAAAGATTTGCACGGTCGTAAGCAAGCAAGCAAGCACGCAAGCAAGCAAGCGAACTTAATATAAAGGATTTAAAAATGTAACCTTTGACAGCGACTCAAAAATACCCCCACATATTATTAGAGTATTTCTATGCATGATCTGTGTTTGTGAATTTATTTGTGATTTTTAGGAGGAAAATTATTACCCAAATTCACGTCGCAATATCTCCGAAATCAAATCATAATATTTAATTATACTGGAGAAATCCGATGAGCAATAACGCTCTTTTTCACAGATGTACACTGGGTCGTCCTCTTCTCCATTGGCAGCCCTGAGTCAGTCGTAGAAATTTCACATTCATATTGCAGGGCCATAGGACAATAAGTGTTGAGGAAAGTATGACTTGATCTTGTATTGGCATTTCATCTGCAGCATAACGCATTATCTTTAGTATATTATTGGATGCACAAATGTTTTGGGAATGAGAAATGTAAAAATTAATGGCAAATTAATAGCAACCTAATGTTATATGGACCCAATAATCATTAGAAATGTCAGCCTATGCCAATCCACTGCTGGATGACGGCCTCCCAAACCATGTTAGGCATGGGTGATGTTTAATCATACTTCACCTACTGTCACAATAGAGTACAGATAGTATGGAGCAAGAACGTAAAGTCGTGGACGAAGCGCATTGATGCTCAGGGTCACAGTGTTTACGAGCATAAAACAAGTTGGTGAGTAAACCTGTGCAAACGTTTTATTCTCAACATCTTCTTCTCAAATCGGTCTGATCATCTCGAGTTCAGAATCCTGTAATGGTATGCGCATCGAGTGGGTTTTATGGATACGGTGAGACTCTGCAAGAGACGGGGCAAGAACGGTTGGCGACTCAACAGCCGCAATGTAGCAGGGACAACTGTGCATCCTTCCTCTTGAGTAAGACATTCTTTAATTTGTTTCAATTGCCCAAGAGGAGTAACATGAGAAACAAAAGCAGAGCAAATACATTCATGGGAATTTGGGCGTGGTTTTGTGCGATGAAATGATTATAAAAATATAATGGGAGACAGCTTTTTTTTATTCTTCTTGAAACTATTGTCACGAATGCTTTAAATACTGTATACTGCATTGAGTGTCCACTACAATACTGCAGGACCAATTTCCCAGAATGAACACGCCAAGAAAACATCTTCATGTTCAAGATTAAAGAGTGATCTTGTTTAATGTCATGAGTTTCAAACAAAACGCAAGCAGTATGTAAAAAGCACACCGCCTCTGTGCATTATGCAAAATCCATCAGCCATTCCTGAAGTAGTGCATTGTGGTCTCATCTTGTCTTTGGTCAACAACAATTACATTTGAGCGAATGTGACCAAGAGAGGACCACAATGCACTGTTTCTAGAAAACGCCGATGGCTTTTGCATAATGCACAGAGGCGGAGTGGTTTTTAACACATTTTTTCCGCGTGTTGTTTGAAACTCTTTGTTTTTTTTCTCCCCGCAGCTTGCACCTATTATTCCGTTACGATGGGTTTTTTTTTCTCCCGTAATTTTACAGATTTTATTCCCTTCCGCAACAACCCGGTAGCATGTGTGGCATTGTGGTTGTATACACATCACACAGGACACTCAACCAATCCGCATTTTACATTCATATAGACATTGATTTGTTACTTCATCACGTTTCATATAGCGTCACCAAACACTCGCGCTATAATCATGTTTAATGGCGCGAGACTTGTAGCAAACAAATACTGTACTCTCTTCAAACTGGTACTAACAAGGACCAACGAATTCCAACACGGCTGTTTTTAATTAGCTTCAACAACTTCATTTGTATCGACAGACTCCCAAGATTACATCTGGGAGTGCGTGCCATCTTTTTTTTTCCCACGGAGCCGATAATAGTCGAACATAATTAGTGTGAAAAGCCCGAGGTCCCTTGTGCACGTTCACACCAAGACATTTCATTTAACGCAATATTTATTAACTTTTCTTGGCATCCGTCATGGAGCAGCTCGTGGAACATTGCCACGCGCACGAAGCAAAAAGCAAAACACAGTTTTTCTCTGACCTCCCAACCACTCACAGCAGCAGTCTTCCGCGGTTTTCCCACCCCCCCACCCCCCCCCAAAGTTTTGTTTCCACCGTGCCCCCCACTGCGACCACTTTGCGACGGGGCCTTTGTGACAGCTTCACGCCGGGCGAACGTTCTTGCCATCCTCGTGTCTCTCGTCGTGCCACAGATTCCCTCCTTCCGTGGTATTGCAGCGGCGTGCGTAGAGCGGGGTGGTTGGTGCCAGGGGTTGGTTGGGGTAGTGGTGGTGGTGGTGGAGGAGGAGGACCCACAGTAAGGGATTGCCCTGACGCGTTATAACTTCGTTGTTGTCCTGGTCATCGCTTACAAATCTTTCTGCGCACATTTCCGACGCGATTCTTCAACGCGGTGGCCCAACCCCTTGCAAGCGACTCCTGCGGCACTCAATGTACGACAGCGAGAAACCCCCCACCCCAAAAAAAAAAAAAACGAAAAGAAAATTCAACCCACTTTGATTATAATCAACCCCAGGCGTACAATAATGCTGGATAAGAGGTCTGTCGTTTTGGTAGAATCCTTTCAATGTTATTCAGCATTGTTCAATCGCTACTGTCTGTAGGCTTGGCTCAAAGCCCCGTGTCTAGGTAGGCTTGTTGAGCAGTAGACGCACTGATACATCCTCTGTGTTGATCGTCATCCTTTCAATATAAAACACACACAGGTACGTGTCCATCATCCAGTTTTTGTTTTGATGAAGACGCTTATCCTTTGATGCCATCGCTGGACATCCTGGTGCATCTTCTGATATGCTGTTCATGTGCCGGCCACTCGTTTTACCATCGCTTATTGGACAATTAGACGCTTTTCTGTTGAATACTCTAATGAGCATTCGATACGCATAAGTTCTTGTGTATTGCCTTTTTATTTTTTTTTACTTTTATCGTATTTTATTACCAGAAAGTAAAGTATATGATAATTGTAATTAAAATTTTAAACAGTATATAGCCACGGTTTCCATCATCAACCCCGGCCATGCATAGACACTCAAAATAAAAAGAAATTAATGTAAAAACTAAAAAAAACCCACACAAATATCACCCCTGTGAAACAGCTGGTCCGAACGTCACCTCAACAACTTCGCTTGGGTAAATCTTCGGCGCTCGATTCAATTAAAGGTGACACTTCACGGAGAGTTTCAAGTCGGTTGAACTCTGACGGGCGATGGCTTCCATCAAATACGTTTGGGTGGAGCAGCACGAAGGCTGGGGCTGGGCAAGGGGCTTGGGCAGCAGAGGTCTGGGCATCAGGGTGGGGGGGCTCTGGACTTGGGCTGCTTTCCGCGATTTTAAAGGCAAGCGTTGCGCGTTCAGCGCGTCGGCACCAGAGTCTGAACGGGACCCGTCGAAATCAGCGCGACGAGTAGCGGCAGCAGCAGCAGCGGCGACGAGGACGACGCGGCGAGCATCGGCAGGGCCGGAGCGCGGAGGCGCCGGCCTGCCGAGTTCGAGCCGCAGCTGTTGGGCGAGGTACAGCGGGACTTTTCGCACAGCACACCCTCGTAGCCGGAGACGCACGCGCAGCGCTGCCGCTGGACGCAGGTGCCGCCGTTTTCGCAGCGCAGGAACTCGTCGCACACGATGGCTTTTCCGAGTTGAATCGTTGCGGGGGTGGAGGGGGGGGGGGGTCAGCAAAGTGCGTGTGTGTTTTTGTTTTACCAGATTTCGAAGGCGGCGGTTATGTTTTGGAAGGGAGGTTGAAAAGGATACACACAAATGGCAGGGTTAGAAAAAGGACTCGAACGCATTTAATAGAAAACGTGAAATATTTCAAACGGTCTGAGTTACGTTTTCCCTGCTGCTGCATTGTAACTTCGTGGCAATAATTGCTGCACGTTGTTAAATCAATTTGCTTGGGTTTTTTTCATCTTTTATATCTTTTCTTCACATGTCGTTTCAATTAATTAACTTTTGAATCCACTTATAATTTTGGAAATGTACATTTAAAGGCCCTTAACTGGAAGCAAGGAATACGCAATTTAAATTGGGACGGTGGCAGCCGCACACGTGGTCACTTTTTTACAATAACATGACAGGAATGTTAACGTCCACTTGCGAAACTTTTATATATTTTTATTTATGACAATACAACCCGAGTTATTAAAACCGGGGGCGGCCGCTTCGAACCTATCCAACAAACCACTCGGTCGGCCACCCCCACCCCAACCTCCAATTTACCTCCGCGGATAATCCGCGAGTCGGCTGTAACGATCAAAAGGACATCGACGAGTAAGGACTCACGGTGGCAGCCCCTGTTCCAGTGGAAGCCCGGCTGGCACTCGTCGCACTTGAGTCCAGACGTCCCCTCTTTGCACTCGCACTTCCCCGAGTCGTTGCAGCGGTCGTGCATGGCTCCAAAGTTGTTGCACTCGCATTCTGCGGGATTCGGGGAATCAACGAGCGTCCGGGAATCCCAACGCCGCCTGTTGTCTCGGCTAAAACAAGGTAACAGGCGCGAGAAACCCTGCGATGTTTTGCCGAAGCCACTGTTGGCCGAAGGGACTTCACTAGCGGTGGGAGCTCTCGTGAGGCCCCCCAAAAGGGGCTATTTGGCCAATTTCGCAATTAAACTTGATTTGGCGCTTTCGTGATCTCTCTCTTAAATTTAGAAATATTTGGAAGAACGTAATTAACCGGTAGGGTGGTGACTGTTATGGTAGCCGACTATCTGTGTTGTTCTAGATTTGGCGCTTTCGTGATCTCTCTCTTAAATTTAGAAATATTTGGAAGAACGTAATCAACCGGGTAGGGTGTTGACTGTTATGGTAGCCGACTATCTGTGTTGTTCTAGATTTGGCGCTTTCGTGATCTCTCTCTTAAATTTCGATTTAAAGCTTTCGTGACTGCTGGGATTCATCTTATTGATTCTTTCGGTAAAGTCACGTAGAAGGGAAATAATAAAATAATAAAAATAAAACAGAATGAAATAATTCTCACGACTTTAAGATATTTCAACAAACTCCAGAATAAGAAGGCTCAGCTAATCGAGTCTCTCACCTTTCTGAAGAGATGCCGCGACTCTAAGGTAATATGCAAATTATTTTGTCAAGGCGCTCTTCCCCCTCCAACCCAACTTAAATATACCCTCTAAGCCTGGTGGTGTTTCATTCAGACGCTGTCTTTCCGACAGACCTGTTCTTCACCTGAGGACGGCTGCTTGCGTTGTGGCCGAAACGTCGTGAGAATTATTTTATTATGTTTTATTTTTATTATTTTATTATTTCCCTTCTACGTGACTTTACCGAAAGAACCAAGAAGATGACTCTCTCTTAAATTTAGAAATATTTGGAAGAATGTAATCAACCGGGTAGGGTGTTGACTGTTATGGTAGCCGACTATCTGTGTTGTTCTAGATTTGAAGCTTTCGTGACTGCAAGGATTCATACTGTTTGGTTTTTTCGGTAAAGTCACGTAGGTTAAAAATCCAATAAGCGGTTGTGCTTTCGCTACATTGTCCACACCTGAAAAAGGACGCTTGTGTTGCGCCCGAAACGTCGTGATTTTATTTAGTTGTTTTCATTTATTTGATTTGATTTTTTACCTACGTGACTTTACCAAAAAAACTAAGAGTATCAGTGTTGTATTGCATTATATTTCTAAATTTAGTAGGTCTGTTTTCTCTTTCATTTGTACCTGATGATGATTGCTTGTGTTGCAATCGAAACGTCGTATGCTATTACTCAATTTACTATTTTCTCTTTCTCCGTGACTTTACCGAAAGAACCAAACAGCAATGTTGCAATTGCCATTCGGGTAGATCGAACAGGCGACCTCGGAATGTGAGATCTTGTAAGCTAGGCAGATTGACCCTGGTTTGTACTTGGATAGCACCTCGGTTTTCAAAATATTCTAGACGTCATGCTGCAAAGGGCTGATGGTTACCCACCCCTGCCATCCCCTGGGTGTGTTTGCTCCGGGTTCTCTGGTTTCCTCCTGCATGAAGCCAAACTCTCATTAACGACAAAGGCCAAAACATCACTCTCTCTTTGTAGCAGGATCCTCCTGAAAAAGAGTCTTGAGACTCAACGAGGCTTGCCTGGGTAAAATAATTGTCATCATTATCATCATCAAATGCAAAAGTCAAGTCTTTATGTTTAATCGAGTTTAGTGGGTTTGTGTTGAGTAAATTCCACATTCCCACCGTCGAGACAATCTAACCGTATGCCGACCATTTTTGTGATGATGAAATACACCATACTCTTTGGTTCTTTCGGTAAATTCACGTGGGTATAAAATAAAATAAATCACGACGTTTCGGGCGCAACACAAGCGTCCGTCACCCACCTGATGACGGACGCTTGTGTTGCGCCCGAAACGTCGTGATTAATTTTCCACCAACGTGACTTTACCGAAAGAACCAAAGAGTATGGATTCCTGCAGTCACGAAAGCTTCAAATCAAGAATGAAATACACTCTTAAATAAAAAAACTACTTTCTTTATAACTGCGTTTTGTATTGAGCTTGTTGTCATTCCCTTGCACGATTGGCTACGTATGGTGCGAAAGAAGTTCAACATACGTACTGTACTGTACGTATAGACAAGAGTGATTTAAACAACACAGACGATACCGTTGGATGATTACAGACCTCAGCGCTGATGAAAAATATTGAACGTGATGCGTGCAACCAACACAATTCATGCGATTGTTGCGATTGGTGATTTTGTTTAGTAGACGGTTGTGGTGGTTGTGGTGGTTGTGGTGGTGGTGGTGGGAAGCGGTGGCTTTGGCGTTTGGCAGCGATTGCGGTGTTGATGGTAGGCACACGTTATTTTTGGTGTCACTTAATCTGAACGTTAACTTTGAACGTGTGACGTCAGTTGCACTTGAATCAGAAATGTTGTCGGGTGAGCTGAAATGGGATACGAGAAACCTGCAGAAATATAGACAGGATATCTTCGGGATAAAAATCAATTATCCTGACCTTCCGGGGAAACATGACGCTTCTTACGGTAAGCAGCAACGCGCGGATGTGAAGCCATTTGAGTCTACGCTTGAAAGTTTTACTTTTTAAAAAAAAACTGTGTCGTATTCATATTTTGTGTCTGCTTTATAATTTTATCTTCAAATTATCAGTGTAATAGGAATTAGTAACTTAAATTTAACGTGTGTACGATGCGTGAACGTCTCCTCCGCTATTCAATAATTTGTTACATTTCGTCGGGCTGATTAAAAGTTCACAACGAAATATATCTTCCTCCGTATTATGACAACATGACCTGATTTAGTTAACTTTATATTAAATATTTTTTTGGATAATATAATTGGTGTGAAGTTTAAATCATAGTTTCCAATAAACACACAAATGTCACGTGAAAAGTAATGTAGTTTTTGTATAACGAATGATGTGCAATTCCTGAGGTTAAAATATACATTTGTTTAAGTCATTGTCTCCACATTCAAATGCGCATAGGGCAGACCCTGCTTGTTCTTATGCCTCGGACTGTTCCCATATAGGTCAATTGTTACTGGTAGGAACCTCCTGGTTACACCAGCCCACAGGGGATTATTGTGTCCGTCCGTCTGGCCGTCGTGCATCCAAAAATGGGAGGGGTGGGGCTGGGTGGAGAGGGGAGGGGCTGGGTGGGGTGGGAGGGGTGGGGCTGGTCACCCCGTGGTGCCCTTATAAAACTCAACGTTTAATCTACTCACACCGGCTTGTGCCCGCCCTCACAGTCGGCCATATTTGCGGAATACACCACGCCGCCGTTGACCCTGGCCATTGACCGAGCAACCCATCGTTCCTACCAGCTCACTCCGCAGGAATGTGTTAACTTTTCTTTTTACCAGGTAAGGCCCACTGAGCTATATAGCTATTTTTCAGAAGCGACCTGGCTACCACAATTGACAGCTCAACAAAGTGACTTATTATCACGAGGAAATTTATAACAGCCAAATATTCTAAACGCACAGGGGAAAAACGGATTACGTGGAGAAAAATCCATGTGACTATGTGGAAAGAGAACACGCAAACTCCAAATAAATAGGGGTCAAGGTTGGAATCGAACTCACGACCTCCTGCATACACGGCAAGGTAGTTAACATTTCGCCACCGTGGCGCCCCAACATTACTTTTCTGATTTTGGGCATGAACGTGAACCCCTTTAGAATCCTAAAGGTCTGGCTCTGCGAACATATCCATTTACAGCATACTGTAAACAAAATCCTCATAGTTCCTTAGTTTGGCTCTATGAGGCTCAGCCAACAACACTGAACCATTAGAATCTTATAAGTTTCTTCGTCTGAGTCTTAGACATTAGCACTGAACCCTCGGAATCCTAAAGTAGTGGGCACCTTTCACTGCTTAAAAATAAATCTGGCTAAACATCTCAATTATAAGACATTGTGAATAAGCGTTGAACCACTGATGTTTTATTGAACACATGGAGAGCCAACGCTGTTGCAGCATGGCAGTGACTGGCTCTGTGCACTTTAAAATCAAAAAGAGAAAACCAAATGGCACCTCAAGCAACAGAGTCATCGTCCCAAAGGAAGGGGCCGGGGGGAGTGATCACCCCTTTAGGACGATCCCGTAGAACTTGGCGCTCAAACCTGAGAGTCACAGAGCCAGACTTGGGAACGTTTTGGATTCCTGGGGTTCATTGTCTATGCCTGAGACACTAAGAGCCAGACTAGTTTAGCGCAATTAATAAGTCAGTGCATGTGGTATGAGTGCCGTTATTGTGGCGCAGGTCGCTATGTTTCACAGACGTAGTCTATAGTAGATGTACAGGACCAGGCGGTCTTGCGGTGTGTAATCCCAATTGACTAATTTGCAGTATATATTTTTTTGTAAATTTGAGAGATTTGGACCATGCCACCTGGCACACAACGGCCTACTGCCAAGCAGCCGGTGCAATATGCTTTCATGACTAATACAGTACACCGGCATTAATAGCTAGGGTGGCCTGCAGGGTTCGAACCACGAACCTCCGCAGCAAGTGGCGAACACTGCTACCACCAGGCCACGTCGCCCCCCCACCCCACCGCCAAAACAAATTGTGAATACAAAAAGAAAGCAACGTGTCCATTTGCTGGTGCGGCATCTGTGAAAAAGAGCTTCATAGCTCCTTCTTGGTTCTTTCGGTAAAGTCACGTAGAATGGAATAATAAAATAATAAAATAAAACATAATAAATAATTCTCATGACGTTTCGGCCACAACGCAAGCAGCCGTCCGCAGGTGAATCCCTGCAGTCACGAAAGCTTTAAATCTAAATTTAACTTCATAGCTCATCGGATTCCTCCAGTATAAAGAAACATTCTGATTGTGATCCTGACGACCAGCCCCCCTTTTTTCTTCTTCTCCCCCCGCCCCCCCTCAACGTTAGAACGCGAGCAAGCGGAGCGAGCGGAGCGGCCGGCCTACTCACTGATGCACATGTTGGGATTGTCCAAATCCACGGAGAAGTTGCGGTAGAAGCCCGGACGGCAGAGCTGGCAGTGCTGGCCCCGCGTGTTGTCCTTGCAGCTCACACACGTCACGATGTTCAGCACGTCGATGTAACTGCAGCGGTTTGAATGGCCATTGCAGCTGCATTCTGGGGGGAAGAGGCCAAGCGAGACGTCAGTCGAGAAAAACTCGAGTGACAGTTATTTTTCCTCTTTGGATGTAACGGTGTTTTGTTTTTTTGCACGTCAAAGTTACGTTGCATTTTTTAACAAATGTTGCATTTAAATAGTGTCGCAAATACTCTAAGGTGCAATTGGTACTGTGCGATCATCGTATTGACCCGTTTAGGTGTGCGCAGTGTTTGTAATTGTGTATCTTTATGCAATATGATGCAAATATAAATGTTTATAATATTTTAGGAATGTTTTGTAAGTGTAGGACTACACAGGACGTGTACATCTATTTAGTGTTATTTTAAGATCATCGTATTGATCCGTATAGGTATGCTGCAGTGTTTGTAATTGTGTATCTTTATGCAATATGATGCAAATATAAATGTTTATAATATTTTAGGAATGTTTTGTAAGTGTAGGACTACACAGGACGTGTACATCTATTTAGTGTTATTTTAAGAGCGTCTACATCATGAATATTATTGAATATGCGTTTATTTAGTTCTCAAATAGGAAAATATTTTCCTAAACGATCAGAAATGCCAGTGGATATTTTTATCTGTTTTCTCTATGAGTCATCGACACCATAATCCCATGTGCAGCATTTCATTCAGTGTATTAGAATAATCTGTAACAGCAGGTGCAGTTGGGACAGCAGTTGAGAAATGTAAATCATTATGGTGAAAAATGAATTACTGTTAGAGTTTTCAAAAAAACTTTTACAGAGTGTAAATTGATCACTATGTCAATCAAACTATGTGCTAAAGAGAATTGTACATAGCTACTGCAATTCGAAATCGTGGTTCTGTTTTAAAACACGATTATTGAACAGTTTTCACATTTCCAGCAGAGTTTTTTTTACATATTCGAGTGGAATTTTCAACGCGAAATATGAACACGATGCATGCATACGGCATTTACATCAAAATACAATCTCACTGCACAGTTGGCAGCAATAAACATGGCTTTAGACCATGTAATGAAAGAGAAAGCATTTGCGCCAAGATGACATTAAACGGTATTGTTTTAAAAAATTTAACAGATTACAGTAGATTCCACGCTTGGACAAGAGCCAATCGGAAGATAGCCCGGTGGGTTGTGGTGATTTGTAAGTGAGCTAAGACTTGCCGTGCACGGTGTTGCAAATATGAGGCAATGGACAAATTAAAATGGCCACCATGTCTGGGCAGGGGAGTTGTTCGTGAAATATCACAGCTTGGAATTTGATTGTGCGGTGAGTCGGAAGTCAAAGTGACCACCCAGTTGGCATATCAGGTTGCCCAACTGTCCTGGTTTTCCCAGGATCACCCCTTCTGTTGAGGTAGCTGCTGTCCTGGGAAATCTATAAGCCTTTCCAGAACATGAAAGGTCCAGTTTTGTTTTGTATCAGTCATGAAATCATACACCGCTCAAGACCAATGCAATTACCTGTAGTGCTCATCCTCTTTTAATATTACGAGATATTCCTCTTCACGTGATATTTCCACGTTTTGTGTTGTTGTACCTCAGACGTGGTGATTCCAGTAGATAAGTGTGGATAGCGTGGGCCCTGCTGCAATAATTGAAATGGGCCATCCCCCCACCCCCGCCCTGTCCAATGTGGGCCTTTTGGGCCTCTCCGGCTCGTGGTCCCTACAGCGGTTGCACCGCTCCACTGCGACCACTCCCGTCGCGTGTTGAAATGAGCATGGAGTGGTTGCTCATTTCCCTTGGTGGTCGTAAGTGAGGATTGGAAAAATTCAACATTACTATTGCCAGGACAAATATCTGCAAAGGAAATTCACTGTTGATGTCTGACACATTGATGGTTCCTTGCACCATGTGACAGGGGGGGGGAGTGGCTTTAAGAAAAATAAATAAAGCTGTGTCCTATTCACACTAGAGCCAAATCACCCTGGATGCATCCGATCTCCAATGCTCAGAAAGACTGAGCCTTGTTAGAACTGGGATGGGAGATTGTCTTGGAATACCAGGGCATTGGAGGCTTGGGATACAGTGTATTGAATCCACCTGTGTGGAACTGAAAATGTTAACCATGGACATGCATGGGTTTATTCCGAGTGCTCCAACATGCTAAACATGCCAATGCAAGACTATCCTGAAAATGAGTCTCGATATTTTACGAGCACAAATAAATAGCATTGCTATCCTAGATCGAAACTAGAAATGCAATGTAGCCTCTGTGGAGCTGTGGTTCTGATTGAGAGGTCGCTCTTTTTTGTTCTTTGCAGATCAACGAAAAAAAATCGACTGATTTCCAGGCATGCAGCGTATGATGTTTGCAATTCACAACGGACACTTTATCACTCCAAACGTCTCCGCGCTTTTGTAACGTATGGAATTGTAGGCCAAATTTGATAGTTCCAGTCACATACTTGACTTATGTGTTGCTCACTGTATTCACTGCTTGGTAGTGGGTGTACACGCATGGGCAACTTGCCAATGCGGTGAATTCAAAAGTCCCATACATGACAATTGCACCACTGAAATCGTTCTCTTGCATATTTTTTGTGCCTTTTGCTTTGCAAGCTCTGGATGTGCCCCAGATTACATTTTTTTTAGAACTTTACACAAAGATGGTGCCGTTTAAAATCAGATGAAGTGAATTAACGGGAGCGTGCTCTTCAACATTTCTGCCCGACTCGAACTCTCCACGAATCGGGCTGCTGTGCCTTTACGGAAGTTTGTCTTCTGAGAGCTTTACAAGAAAAAAAACAATCATCACCCTATAAGGGCGATCATTGAAAATCCCACGAGAGATTAGAATCTAGCTGAGAATAACAATTATTCTTGCGCTTTACATGCACAGGCACATTCATGAAAAGCCAAGACAAATGAGAGCACTATTGATTAAAATAAAAAGGAGAGAAGAGACTAAAAAAGATTACTTGAATGATGATGGCGAAAAAGTTCTCGTACAATGAACGTCAAATGGGGATGTGTTCGGAGGAAATGGTATAGGTATGGTACTTACAAATGACAATGATTGGGACACGGAGGAGATGGCAGGCACTGGGGAAATGACTGGATGGTGACGTCCAGGGAAAACAGGAGGGTAGTCTTGACCCTACCTGGATTGGTGTCTAGTTCCTCCAGAGAGGAAGAGATGCTCGGCAAAAAGGCATCGGCCTTTGAGGCGGCTGAAAACCCAAAGCAGAATAAGACACGACACACAGATTAACCCCTTTTTTCAGGCCGCATTTATCTCTGCCGCCTCAGAAGAAGAAGATTAAAAAATATATGTATATAACTTGTAGTTTAAAAAAATGCCACGGAATCTCCATGCTCAAACAAGCGCGGGATGATGCTCAACTTTTTGGCATCTGTGAGCAAAGTGGAGAAAAAAACTTGCACATTACTATGGCAGGGATCGGCCTCAATGTCACAGCCGCTGTTGACTTCCCGTAGAGTAGCACTTTAGTTTTGTTGACCCTAGATGGACGATCGTCCGAGTCCGCCACCCGACTGGAAATTGAACTCGTAACCTTTCCACTGCGAGTCGATGAGCATCATGACGGCACCACTCGTCTTTGATGTATACGTCGCAGTGGTGAACCAAAAATTGTCTGAAGTCACTCGGATTACATGCCATTGCTGCTTATGCTCAAAATGGTCTTCAAATGAACGTAAATGTCACTGCAGGCCAGGAATGTAATATAAAATACCAAACAATTTACGTTGTCATGTCTGGATAAACAATCTATTTCTAATTAACACGTTTTCCCTCCAGTAAAAAAAAAGCTAATGTGCATGCCTACCAATGATTATGCCTGCAGACAACAGATGTATGCAAAGGTTTAAGCAGACAGCCTTGCCAAGGTACATTAAAAAGACCAATTGAATTCTAAAAAACAATCAAAGCCTTCCCCACATGCAAAATTCATACGGCATTAAGGCCCTTTGTTAAAGCAAGATCCGGTTTCTGTAAAGCCTCTGGAACCACATGACAATGACTTTGGTCGCGGGCAGAATTCCTCGACGGATGTTGCTTATCGGTAAAGTAGCAGAAATTTACAGAGACGAAATTAAAGGGGTCGACGGAGGTTGGAAGCTTTTGTCAAGTGAGACGGCGAACAACAACAACAACAAACATCTCTTGTAGATGGCGCTCTTGGCTCTGTTCGAATACCAAGCGATGCCGTTTCACCCGATTGTGAATCAAACAAGATGTTTGCAGTTGGCCCAGGCACGGCTCTCCCCGGAAAAAAAAAGAATTACGGAAAATTACGTTTGGCTTTTGTTTTTCACGAATGGCTGTTGTTGCAAATGTTAACGACGGATATAAATAACCACGGGTCATTGCGGGGGGCACTGTAAACTCGTAATTGTAAACGTACGCCCTCGTATAATAAATGGTATTATTGTAAAAAAACAACAACATAAATTGGAGTCTGTGATTTTTGTACATCCTCTGACTATATGAAACGTTGCACATTTACATTGCATAAAATGTTTCAGGTTGTGTGTTTTTGTTGAACCTGTGAAATGAAGGCTTTCATGCAAAACCAACAGGGCCGCTTAATGCAAAAATCGGTGCATTTCTCTTTTTAAAATGGCACAGACACAAGATGGGCATAATGCGCAAGAGATTGCCACTATGGCTATTTTTAAAATCGAAACCAAAGTACATTATAAATATTCTACACCATCTACGACGGCTTCATTCAAGCTGTATTTTAATAATTAATGTGCATCGGGGATAGAAGTGAGATCTTGCCTTGGTTTAAGTGATGGAAATGCATGTGTGCATGCAAGGCAATGGATGAGCTTTAGCCTTCCTGCATGCACACGGTACATCTGTGCAGTGCTCACAATTGCTGAGAATCTCGCTTGCGTAAAACACACTTTCCATTATTCTGTATTTTATATTTCACCGCGTGTAGTTTTATTTTTTTACCATAGCTTATTTTTCCCTTCTGATACAGATAATCCTGTAATTCTGTAAGGCTGCGTGGATACGATGCTGAGATGCGGACAAAGGTGCTTTGGGAAATGGCACACAAAGGGAAAAAATAAAAAAAACATCGCAGCAGTTGGGGGGGGGGGGGGGGGGGTTACTTGTGTCCAAATCCCAACTATTTCTGGGATGAAGTATGTTTTTGATTGTGCTCGCTGAATGATTGCACACTGACATCATAAAACTGAGCACGGGCTAACCGACACAAACCATTTTTAAATTATATGTTGCTGTACTTGGGGAGGAGAAAAAATTGAGCTTTTCCTCTTGTTGGGAGGGCTGAGTTATTGGCCCAGTCGATTTATACATTTGCCGGCGCTGACGCATGATTCGACCGATGATGATGATGATAACGTCGCTCCCGTGATTGTTGGCAACAACTCCTTGGGGCTCTCGATTGTCACGTGGCTATGTTTTCCGTGCCCGGTTAATTCGAGCGAACCAACGATTCAATTTTCCGGCAGTGTGTAATTTTTGTAAGGAGGGTAAACGATTCGAAATGCTGCATCGGGCTCTTGAGATGCCATCGCGGGGCTCGAACGGATATTGGCGGTGTCCCTCGCTGCCAGCGGGCCAATGAGCTGTTTGCTGCCACTGATCAAACACTCCGTCCCCTGTGGCTGAGGCTGGCGTTCGCCATCCAGAATTTAAAAAAGGCTCTGGGTGTCCCAACCGATCTTTGGCCAAAGAAATGAACACCGTATTTTTTTCGACTTGTTCAAATTTGAGCCCTGAGATTACAAATTGCGTACGCTTCAACAAGTCGAGAGGGGCGGCTTTGGAGACCGCTGGTGTTTTGTGCAGATGATTGTCAAGTTTATTGATGGTTAGTGTTTAAAGAGACCTCAACGTGGGTCACTGCAGAGGATGTGGGGTAAAGCTACGGCGATTGTAACGAGGGCCCAACTATTGCGAGATTTTGAGAGATGTGTGCATGTTAACAATTGCACGTATGTATTTTTTGCCACGACTATTTTTATTTGACCAGACAAGGCCCACTGAGCTATATGGACGGAAATGTATCGAGACCGCAGGGTGGCACAGTGGTAACACTTGTGTCTCACAGCAAGGAGGATCTGGGTTTGATTCCTGACTCGAGTGCAATTCTCTCAGGAGTCTGTATATTCTCCCTCTTCTCTGCATCATTTTCCTCTGGCTTCTCTGGTTTCATTACGTCGCTGAAATCATACAAAGCCATTGATGTCAGCCAAGTATCCTCAGGCAGGACCCTCCTGAAAAAAATAGTTTTTGGATTCGGTGTGGCTTTCTTAAATATGTAAGACTTCGGGAAATACGCACATGTATAAATGTGGGTTGTTCAATAAGTCATGCTCATATTTAACTGAAATGTTAATATAGTATGACCACACAGGGAAATAATAATACATCTCTTTGATGTATTGCAATACATTTTTTTTAGCAAATCCAACTTTTAGTTAATTGTCCCTTTAATTTTACAAGTAAAACGACATCTTGCTAAAAAGCTACTCTTGAGGTTGTGTTTTTTTTAGAGCTGACTGCATATAATTTCGGACATTATTAAGTTCCGTTGAAAAATGACAAGCTGAAAATTGCGCTAATTGCACGTAATCAGTATGCGTGCCTAGAAAGGGGGGGGGGGGTATATGAACGGTAGTCTGGAGGCACCAGACTTTGTTTTTCGAAGCCTGTGGGGAGCAAGGCCCATGGCGTTGACATCTGAATTATCAGACTTGCCACTGCTGGTGGGGAAACAGGCCTCCACTCTCGAGGGTGGTTTGACTTTCCACGCTGATCAGTCATCTCGGAGGAGGTGAGAGTAACAACAACAACAACCGCCATTCGCCACTAAGTGGCAGTGACGTCACCACGACGCTTGTGCCAGGCCATGTGCACCTTGAGGCCACGTGAAGTGTCGAACGCCCGCTGGCAGGAGGTCACGGGCAGACCCAGGTGCCACGGGTCGACTGACTGAGATGACTGAGATGACTGGCTGATGCACCACCTGTGCCCCCTACTGTGCCAACTTGCTGTGCTTTAGCCACCCGGCACTCCGCTCGTTGTTGTGGGAGTAACCACACTTTTGCACCACCACCGTGGCGTACCAACCTCTTAGTGGACATCCGTGACCCTCCTGGACATCTGGGATACAGGTGCTCGATAAGCTCGTCGGATTCCTCCAGAATAAATAATTATTGTGATTCTGACAAATATTCTGATATGGTAGATACACTTCTTCACAGTGGATGTTAAGGATCGCGTGATGTTGATTCGTTATAGATTTTTAAACACGGATATTTACGCGATTTAACCCCCCAAAAAAACTATTGCGGACACGCATTTTATTAACGCGATCGGACACACAAAATAAATTATGAATCGTAATATCGGTCGCGAAAAGCCTGAGCGTGTTAAATAATTTACCCTTTGATGTCATTCGAAAAAGGGAGCACAGTCGGTCATGTGTGCCGGTGACACCGGCCCAATTTTCCAGACTCGGAAATTACACCGCAAATTACCCAGTTGGCTTAAAATCACATGGCACAAACGCCCCCTCGCGTGAAACTGCCAAAGAGTTTCCTGTACCCAGCCGTGTCAACAGACCGCCTTCGTGGTAGCGTTGACAGCCTCTAAGAATGACGTGAATACCAAATACAGGAGGCCCTTTTGCAGCGAGGTGAAACCTGAGCGCCCTCTGCCTGGTTCGTGCAATGATTCTTCTGTCACCTACGCGTTTATCATGACGATGATGACGACGATGACGACGACGGATGCCTAATGTTCTCGTGATTTGATTTGATTCGGTTCCTCCATCGTTGGCAATCCGAGTCGTGAGCCAGTGTGAGCCTGTTTAGGTCGTCGGCTCCGATGAGAACCGGCTGAGAGGCGGGAGTGGCCGCTGAGGCTTAGGGACATGATCACCGTACGACGGAGGAAATTGTACGGGTCTAACAAATCACGGTTGATGGGCACACTAAGGTACACATCGGTTTTCTCTGCACGAGAGTCTCCTCAGGATTCTTATTCCTAGGATTTATTTAAGGACCGTTTGATAGACAGTATTGTTTAATGCGGTTTAAACATTTCGGTGTGGGGCAGTATTGCAGTGGTTAGCACGCTGCTCTATGAACCTGGTAACTCGAATTTGATTCTTGGCCACAGCTGCTATCAGAACTGGTCCTGCCCTCCTCCCCCATCACCAACCTGCACTTGACCAGCGTGGTGAAGTATAGTCAAACAATTAAATCTTGACTTAAAGCTTTCGCGACTGCAGGAATTCATATTCTTGGATCTTTCGGTAAAGTCACGTAGATCGGTTTTTGTTATTTTCTTTGGACCTTTCTATGTGACTTTACCGAAAGACCCAAGAATATAAGAGTCAAACAATTCCCATGACCAACACGGTGTGGGGAGGCCTTCATCCACGAGTGGCTTCATTTTCTATTTAAAATTTTTCTAATGTAGCTTACATGTATCTATTTGATGTTAAATACAAGGAACAAAAAATATAGAACCTCGTGCAATATGTTCATAATTTCAACGTCGCTCACATTTGCTAGGTAACTGACTAAACACATTTTACAGGTAATGCCACTGGTCCTTCACAAGCCAAAGCTGAGGCCCGTATTGACCACTATGCAAGCGGGTGGCCAATGCGCCACAGTGCAATAATTAGGGAATGGAAGACGAGTGGGCTGACGCTTCCACTCGAGAAAAACAAACTACTAAACATAAATTCCCAACGCACCAATGACTCACAAACTACTGTACGCAGCAGCAGCAGTTGGCGGTAGTGCTAAGCGCACGTCGGATGGACGTGCGACGAAACAAAACAAGGAGGCTCTAGGGGTATGATGGATGGGCAGACGGGCGAGCGAGTGGATGGGCGGACGAACGGACGCGGGGTGGGAAGATACAGAGACGGACAACAGCGTGGGAGGGTGACTGAGCGGATGGGCTAATGGACATGCGCTCGCATGGACTGATGAGCGGGCACACTGAGATGTCACGGGGTACAGCGGGTGGGCACATCCAGCAAGTCCCTACCTTGTTTGTGATGTGAGGCCTCGAGGGAAGAGGCACTTGGCCACACTCTCTCGTACTTTGGAACGGCTGGGAGCGTTCAGGAGATACACGTTAGCTTCTTATTTGTTGTGCATCTCGCCGTGTGTGTGTGTGCCGCACGTGAGTGTGTAATGTGTGCAACGGTGCGAGCTATATGTATATATCCGAATATACTACCGGCATTGCTGAAAGTAATTCCAATGTTATGTAACTATGGCGAATGTTATAGTCGTTCCAGGGCTCTAAAATTAAACAAAATAAGGCACAGAAACTTTTTTTGTTTTTTCTGCCTGTGCAGTCATGTAACATATATTTGCCAAACCATTATGATTTAGGTGGTAAGGTGCAGATTTTTAAAAAATAATTAGACTACATAAGGATTTTCAAACGTCTTCATACAGCTTTAAAAAAAAATGTTTTATGCATTTCTTGCTTTGAAATTGATATGCGGTAAAAAGGGATTTATAAATCATCAGCCTACCACTTACATCGGTAGGTTTGGCAAGTAAAAAGATGTAGACAGAAGAGTGATACATGTAATAGATGTAATCGATCATTTCCTACTAAAACAAGTGGGGGAAGTGATCGGTATTTATCAGTTGGGTCAGATTCAGATGTTGGTAAATGGAAATTAAAAACAAAATTTGGCAAAACATTTGTCTGTCCCAGTGGTTGTCTTGTGGGGCCTCTGCTTCACAAACCTGCATTGACTAGTGTGGTGAAGTATGGTCAAACAACCCCCCGCACCACTGACACGGTGTGGGGCGGAGACCTTCATCCAGCAGTGGATTGACAAGGGGCTCTACGTTTTTGTAGTTTTATTCTATTATCGAAAAACGTTGTGTAAAGAATTCGAGCACTTCTCTCCAACTAGAATCGGGGGGGGGGGGGGGGGGGCGGTGCAATCGACGTCACTCTAGAGCAGCGCTGGCCTGACGGGGAGACCAGCGCCGGTCGGTCAATAATCACCGACCGGCGCCGGTCGGTCAATAATCACCAACCGGCGCCTTTGTGTTCCAATTCGGTGACAAGCGTCACATGCGTGACGTTGCCTCCGCCCAACTGGAGCCAATGGCCGCTGCCTCCGTTTCCTCTCTGACCGCCGCTGACCCGCAAGTTCAATCGAGTGAAAGCGATGTGCGTCGGCCAATATCTGGGGGAGGGGGTGGGTGGCGTCGGAGATTGGCCTACGATGTGCGGTGTTCATTGATCATCCCAAAAAAAAAATGAAGCGGCTTAAATTTATTATCTGCAGTGCGCAGGTGAAGATAAAATCACTAGCTTGCTCGAATGAAAAAAATTAAACCTGTGCTGGTATTCGCCAGCCCTTTCATGAAACCATTCTGGACAATGAATCGTGTTCACCATTAAGACTCAGCGGCTCGTAAAATTACAAAGTAATGTGACGCTCACTTTAAACTATTACGGGTTATTTAAAACAATGTTGCTGTTATTGTAAAGGCACATTATTTTCCCTCTAATTAGCAAAGGTCAATGTTTGTCAATTTGCATGGTAATGAGGTTGTGTGAATGTAATAATACACTGAATGAATGGATGGATTATGGGTAGTCAACACCTACATTTCATAATTTACGTACTCTCAATGAATGTGGAATGTGTATTAATTTTAGATATCAAATCAACTTATGCTCACGTTATGATACATTATTTAGTTTATGTTATTCATGAACAACCTACATCGTTCATATTTTGGCTACATATTGTCTCTCGTGTTTGCATAAACAGTGCTTTACAAATATTGGTGCGAGTGGAGAACAATTCGCAGAATGTGTTTGTTATCGTGTTGCATTTGTAAACGATCTGTTTTCGTCCTTTGCGGTTTATATTTTATTTAACTCCTAGCGATGTTGAAAAAGCATGACAATACAGATACAATGTCTGGTTTTCCTTTCCCATTTTCCAAAATGCAAGTGACCTCACCTCCAAAGTTGCCACCAAGCCCATCTGTGGACAGAGACAGGTTAGTTCAGTTGAGATTTCATATCCAAGTCACATGGCATGGGTTTAATGACTCGTAACATTCCACAACTTGTGCATCGCATGTCAACAAAACCACCAAGCATGGCTGGACGAGGGCCCTCCTACGCCACACGGGTCGCAAAGGTCATATACAAAGGTCAGAAACATTGAGCAATTACGGGTTGGTCAAGGTGGCAATCATAGGTGCGAGAGCATAGAAGTACAGTACAACCACATACATTTACGTGTAATATTCTTGGCTGCCCGCTGCTGCCCAATATGTGGCCCTGTAGGTGCCGAGGACAACCTGGCGTACATGATGGTCACCCATCCAAGCACTTTGCGGGCTCAACTCTGCTTAGCTTCAAGCTCTTGAGATCAGGTGTGTTCTGGTTGATTTGGTCGTCGGAGAAACAAAGGAACATCTGTCCAAAACAGGCACTTCGGATACTTACACTAGGCCCGGTTTTCATAGGCGAGCATCAACACGTTCCTCCTGTCAGACGGACTCATGATAGCTGATTGAAAGTTTACCTTTTTTCAATTGCCTATTTGGAACACCTCGCACACAAGAGGTGTCAAAACCCAACAGCAGGCATGTGTCACGATTCATTGATTTACATCGACTCTTCTTACCCTCCCAGATGCATGCATTGAATTATAGCAAATCATAATCGGTTATTTGTTATTCATAAAAATTATCATCCCAACATTCCCTCGGGCTAACAGTGATAACAATTACATATCGTTATGTTAACTAGCTCATACTCACAGGCCCTTTGGATTGCACCCGTTGGGATTGCACTCCCTCGTCGAGGAGGCCGCTGTCCTCCTATCTTACAGCTACATGCTAATTTCTCACATTAACATCACGATAATCTCTCACATTAACATCATGCTAATCTCTCACATTAACATCATGCTAACCTCTCACATGAACATAGCCACTTCCGTGCCCTCGTCGAGGAGGCCGCTCTCCTCCTATCTTACAGCTACATGCTAATTTCTCACATTAACGTCACTAGCCCCAGCCACTTATTTATGACCCTTGGGCTACACCCATTTCAAACCTTTTAAAACAGTCAGCCTCAGCAGCAGACCATGCTTTCCCACCTGATGATGGACGCTTGTGTTGCGCCCGAAACGTCGTGATTTATTTTATTTTCTACCTACGTGACTTTACCGAAAGAACCAAAGAGTATGGATTCCTGCAGTCACGAAAGCTTCAAATCAAGATGGTCTAGCTCGTTATGTTTATTTGTATTTGCATTTGAGTTGATATTTAGTACACATTTGCCAGCTGCGTAAAACTCTCAGCCTTTTCCCACTTGGTTTGCTTTTAATGAAGTGACATCACTGTTGGAACAAAACGACCCAACTGGTAATTTGTTTAAAATTCATTATAACTTCTAAACTATTTCTGTTACACTATCCTTGCAAATTATAATTGTTCGTTTCATCTGCGCTGCAACAGAAATTCAAAAAAATACTTTCGGTGTCGTATGCAGAACAAAATATCCCAGCAGATGGCACTCAAGAGATTCTCGAAAAAAATTGCGACTCCAGATGAAGAATGGCACGTTCGCCATACGGATGACAATTGTCAGCAGCAAAATGATGAATATGTAAAATATGAATACCAAAATAATAAAATATTATTAAAGCCAACAGCGATGAGTTGAGTGGTGCCATGCTGTGCCCAAGTGTCAATAATGCTTCAATTATTTAACGAATGCAAGGACCCATTATAATGGAGAAGGCAAACAAGCATATGGTGAGTGGCTATGTATGGTGCTAAAGAAGTTCAACGCACATACATCAAACACTTTCCACCGGACCCCCCCACCCCCACCAATGTTATCAGGTCAGCCAATCTGTCAACTTGGTCACGCTATTTTAAATTCATAAACATCCAATTACCGGGTCGGTATTCACTCTGCCGTCACAGTCTCTTGCAGCGTTATTAAATGATCACGGTCAGCATCTTTATTCAGATGGGTTAATTCTCTTTCTCTCTCTCTCGTTATTACAATCAGTGTGGCTTTGATCTCGGGGTGGGAGGTTGAGGCTCTTGGGTAGCTCGGCTGACTGAGCTCACGAAAATATTTACCCCTGGGGGGGGGGGGGGGGGGGTGCAGGGGGGTTGTAGCGGGGGGGGGGGGGGGGGATAAAAAATATTCCACGAGAAATTAAGCCCTGGTCATTCTTAATCATTTTTTATCCACTAACAGTCACCACTCACTCAAATAAAATGACATTTGATTGACGGATATGTTTAACACTGCGAGGGGGGTGGTGGCAGTGAGGAAGCGCAGTGGTAAACACTCGCGCCTCGCAGCAATAAACGCCTGGGTTCGATTGCCAAGTTTGGATGTGCTTCCCCCTGTTCTGCACGGATACCCTCTGAGTTCTCTGGTTTTCCTCCCAAAGCCAGAATTTTTTTTTTTTTACAATGTAAACTGGTAGTGGTCAAACATCCCAATGCTGGAAATTTACCTGCAAAAATTACTCAATCGGGAGTTCACATGAAGCCAAAAGTTTGGCGGGACCCTCCTGAAAAGAAGAGTCTTGACCCTTTTCTTGAGTGAACGAGCACAAGAACAACAAACAACAACAACCAACTAACAACGATGACTCACTTTGCTTACCGGTGTTGGCTGTGCACTCGTTGGGCATGCCGTTAGGGTACGGGAGGTAGGTGCCCGCCTTCCACAGGCGCCCGCGGTATCCGCGCTTGCACTTGCCGCAGTCGGAGCCTGTCGTGTTGTGCTCGCAGTCGCAGAGCAGCTGACCCTTTTCAAATTTGCACTCCCTGGCGTGCAAGTTGCACGTGCACCTTGAGCGGCGGGAGAGGGCGGAAAGGTTGGGAGAGGACCGTAGCAACGCGCACACACAAGAGACAAAGGTAAAAGGAGCAAAGGGTAGGCTCACAGACTGTCAGGGCAAGTGCTGTACAGCTCGCCGACGTCTTGTCGAGGTTGCACCGTGCGCGTTGTCTCGCGCTTATCTCCACATGCTGGGAGCTTCGAGAGGAACTGAATTGAGGGGCCGTAGTTCCTCGCTCGGTAAAGTAGCGCTGGTTGCTGCTGCTGCCTCCTCTACTCGGGAGAAAAGGGCTGAAGCCTCCGTAGTTCCTGAAGAAGCTCTCGGCACGCGGAGACAAAAGCGTCCTGACGTCGTGCCGCAAGTCCACAACACGCGGTGACAACCCGCAGATGCCGTTCGTTTGGGCAGCATCCCTCCAGGCCACCGCTTGTGTCTCCCCCAGCGCCGATATTCGCACGCTCTCTCTACTCGCTTCTTGCTCGCACGCAAAACAAAATAGTGCATTCAGCTTCGTGCCTCGTAAGACAAAGTGCCGTTAACAAGTGCCAATTGAGGCCAGCACCACAACCAGACGCTTTACGTCACCACGGTACTAGTGCCCATTGACTGCATCAAGTACTCGCTTAAGGCCGAGTCAACCTAGGGGGAGACCGACAACTCCGATTAGCACGGTTGGCTACGTAGGGTGCGAAAGAAGTTCAACGTACAGTACATACAGGTTAAGATGGCACTTGGCACTCATGCTATACATCGCGTGGAATCAAAGACTCTGAGCAGGGCTTTAGTGCAGTGTGAGAGTCAACGCAAGACTCCTGAGCCTTTGAAGTAGTTTCCGTGCTGTTGGCAAAGCATTCATTGAGGCCGCAATGGTGGACAAAGGGAATTGTGTAGCCAGCACCGTACTGTGTGTATGCGTGTATGAATGTTCAACTTCTTTTTGCACCGTACGCAGCCAACCGTGAGAATCGGAGGTGCACAACCGCTGCTCAACTTTGTTCCTCCAATTCCGATGATCGGCACAGTGCACCAGGTACTCATTCAAGGCGGAGCTGGAAGGCGGAGGGCAAGTACGAGCCCAGGTGCCGCTTGCCACAAAAATGTTATTTGTCGCTGAGAAGTGAACAGCAGATTTTAGCGCAATGCACGAATCACAGTGCCACTGTCTTTGACACTTACAACAACAATCACCGTCATTTGCCAATAAGTGGTGGCGACGTTGCTATCGGGGTAGAGGTGCACCGAGAGGCCAAGACGTGTCAAATGCTCGCTGCGTGGGAGGTCAGCGGCACAGACCCCAGGCGTTACGGAAATTTACCGAGATGACTGGCAGATGTTTAGACGCACGCGCGCGTGGCACGGTCAAACAAGCGTCCGCCGCGCGCGCAGGCTCAACGACACGAGCGGGGTCAACGACAAGCACGGGGTCAACGACACGCGCGGCTCTGGAAGTTCCGGGCACCGTTGCGCCGTCAGCGAATGAAAGTCGCGGCCACTCGTGCATAGACGAGGATTGTCTCCAATTTCGGATGCAATCACCCCACCCCCACCGAGCGTCCCCTCGGCACTCGCAACAAACCGCGGCGTCTGCGCTCGGGCATCAACGTGCCGGCCACTTCGTTTGGCGCGCGCACGATCCTGCCGGGGAGCCGCGTGCACGTGCGGACAACGCGCACCTGGATACATGTTGATGGCGGCATTACCGCCACCGTCATCCGTGCATGCGTGCAGGCGCTCCCGTGGCTACGACCCAGCGTGCCCTTGCCTTTTGCCTCGTGACGCTCCTTTGTATGTCCCCCTCGAAACTGCGGCGGGGATAAATTGCAGCCACAACTCGGGAGGTGGGGGTGGTGGGGGGCGCACACTCGGGTATCTTGTTGTGCACCACGAGGCTCCTCAATGGCCTCACGCAGCTCGTGAACATGTCGCCGTACGCCAGAATGGAGCGGCCTATTTTATGCATCGCGGCATGAGTCACCATCGGCCGCGGTAAAAATAACTGCCGGGTGAAGCCTCCTCAAGCCGAGCGTACGGTGTGTAACAATCCGCGTCGCACGTGCAAACGAGGTCATTTTTTGTTGTTGCGATTATGGTGCATAGTGGCTGTTCGATTTGTTTTATGTTTTCTAAAAATGCACTTGAAACGGGAAGAGCTGTGCTTTTCACTCAAGAGTAAAAGCTAAAGGCACAGCCCTGCAATTGCTTGCTCGCAGCACTGCTGCCAGAAGAGGGATCTCTAGAGAGTCCCTCTGGAATGTATTCGGCCTATTCCTCAACGTGAGCGAGACATCTCTGATGTGCGGGGGTAAGCATACTTGGGACAGATTAAAATTTCGTTTCCCCCCCCAATTATTTTAACCGCCACGCCGGGAGAATTATCCGAACCCGCAACCTCTGCATTGCAAGTCCAGTGCGCTAACCGTTACACCGCAGCTACAACCGCCTACTTAAGTCGACAGTGTCTGATGGTAAAAATATCTGCCAAGTTTTGTTCGAGCTCGAGAATGTCCGATTCCTGTGTCCACGGTGCTGTTGCCAATTGTGTATGAGATGGCACAGAGCCACTCCGGTGTGACTGCCCAACACAGCAGACTTGCACGCTCTCATTTTTCTTTTCTTCAGGATGAATAAAAATCGCCGATTTTGTGATTCGAATTCATGCAAATATAAACGCGGCCCGCACTGGCGAAACATCGCATTGGTCAGGAGTGATCTTCGCTCTCTCTTTCATCGCGACGATACGAATCGAGTGATAAGCGCTCGCGTTTTTTACTGCTTCTAAATATGATTTCGGTGAGCCGAGTCATTGGGCCATTTAGGAAGCAAAAGAAAACGGCTATTTTTCAAAGCCTGTCAATTGAAGGGCTGTTCAAAGAGTCGTCTTAAAATAGGGCAATTTTATCAGTAGTAGTATTATTATTATTATCATCATCATCATCATCGAGCGCGTAACAAGTGCTAAAACACTGTAATGCTCTTTCATTCATTCGCGTGATGCTCACGGAAGTGGGCGCAGTTGCGCTGATTATCCGTGTGAATGATTGCGGCGTAGAGGGCACGTGGGAATTGAGCTTCTGCTCCTTGGGATGTGTGTAGTGAAACGATACAAATGTAGATTATTATTCATTGATATAGCCCACAAGGAGCTGCGGCTCACATGGAGCCTGTGAAAGGGCTGAGGAAGAAATACATAATGCCAAATTCCACGGATTATATGGCGGCGCTGGGTAGAGGAAAATACACCTTCCAAACTTGTGCTCGGTGTGAATAACATTACACAAATCTGTTCTCTCTCACGCACAGCTGCCAGATTGTAAGATGCACCCTCAACTTTTAGGTTTAAAATGCGTGGGGAAAATGCGCTTCATAATCTAGAGAATATGGTAACAACTATCCCTTTTCTCCAATAGGTGAAGCGAAACGAAACAGTGTTCTTATCAATATTTTCCCATTTTTTGTATTCTATATTTTTATTTTATTGTGGGTTTGAAGCCATCAAAAAAAAAACTCGTTATGTTTGAATGTTATGTGCACGCGCATTTCCTCAGTTTATTTCCTGATTGTCTTCGGGAGATCAAGCGTTGTCGCCTATTTCTGCGTTAAATGTTTGTGTCTGGAGGCCCATTACGCTTTCCGAACGCCGCCACGTGTTCATATAAATAGTTTAAATCTCACGTGCTGCTGCTTTGATCTCAACAAGAGTCGTAAAATCCATCACCGACACGATGGCAATGCGTGTTGTTATCTTAGAAAAAAAAAATCCGGAAAATAATTTGACGCTGTGTTCAAGAATGCTTCGATACCTAGACATCTAGTGGCGTGGATTTATTTAAACAAGGTGCTCTGAATATTTTTGTTGTTGCTTGGTTACAAGTGTTTAATGAAGGCAAATGTAGAAATGTTTTACTCTAATCACTGTAATTATTTGCAGTGTTAACACGAGTAATGTAAACATATTTAACTTGCATTCAATAGCATAACCCACGTGTTTTTTTTTCTCGGCATACACTGCTGCTCGCTGTTTGCAATTTAAAGCATCCATATTCATTTCGGGGTGGAGCATTTGTGTACAGTGGTAGCGTGCTGCACTATGAACCCTGCGACCTGAGTTCAATTCGAGGCCATGGCTAAAATCAGCAGCAAGGGATATCAGAACTGCTCTCATCCCAACTTCACAGACCCGTACCGACCAGCAAGGTGAAGCATGCAACAAAAAAACCCACGAATTACAAAGTGTGGGGCAGCCTTTGTCCATTGGTGGATTGAGAATGAATGGATTTTTATTTACTCAAACAATCTTTTTTTAAATTAACATGAAAAGATCGGTCACTTGACGAGTTTTGGCAGATCGAATATGAACTTGAATTCTCATGCGCATTTTAGGAAATTATGACAATCGCAAACGAATGTGACATATAAACTTTGAGCATACAAGAGTTTGTTAGTCACATCACATCAAACTTCTCTGCTGTGATAATAATAATAAACATTTACAGAACCTTGTCAATACACTGTATTATTACCTAAATGGCCTCATATTTGCAGCTGTTCAGACCCGTGCATACGCTTTGCTTGATTTCCGTAGCGTAAAGCACACGGGCATTCCAGCGTTGGCTAATGAAACTACTCGTAATGTAGAAAGCCCACTATTAGGCCGTGAAGTTTGGATCAGTGCTGAGTATGATTAATAATCCTCCAGCCCGCAATCTGTGTATTCGCGTGAAATAAAGGGAAGGCGCAGAAGAAACTAGACCAAATGAGCAACAGCAAAAAAAGGGCAAAATTGCATTTTGTATGTTATTCTGGGCACAAGGGAAATCATTAAACCGGGGCTGCACAGAAATCTTCCTCTTGGGTATGAAATGAAGAGAAGGGATCATAGTGAGCGGGAGTTGTTTTGTCTTTGGTTTTTGTTTCTGCTTTAAAGCCCTTGGAGGGATGAGCCGTGATACTGTCTTGCATCCTCATGTTTGCATCTCCCACCTCTTGAGTCCAAAAACTGCTGTGAAGAAT